TAAATTTAATTTTTGTACGATTGAAGAATTTGATTTTACTACTTAATTCTCGGCCATAGCTGAGTGGGGGTGAAAATGTCGGAGATTGTTTAAAACAGATTAGTTAGAAATAAATTTAATTTTGAAAACAAACTTGCGTTTTTTTTATTCTTTATTAAACAATATTCTTTCAGTGATACAGAAATTAGATGGGGGGGGGGAAGTGTCACATTTCGCACCGGGCCCTAGCTGCTCTATAACCGCTGCAGTTTATTTGTAAAGTTTTTTTTTTTAAAAAAAAAGAAATATAAAATTGTTCCAGTTTCAGTAAATGGTTTTGATATGGGGTCGGTAGGGGTGGGTTGGGTAGGAGGTGGGGTGGAGAATTGAGGTTGATAAAGATTTCATATTTTTTATGAGACATATCTTTTTATATTGTGAATAAACCACACGGCTTTCCTGTGCTATATTTAGACCTAGGCTAAATGAATTTTTCTTAATTGAATTAAAAACTTCGCTTGATAGTCTTTCAGTCGTAGCTTAATTTAGGACTTAGGTACAGCTGCCAGGTTATCTTACCAGTTGTGCAAAAGAGAAATAATATATATATATATATATATATATATATATATATATATATATATATATATATATATATATATATATATATATATGTGTGTGTGTGTATGTATGTATGTATGTATGTATGTATATATATATATATATATATATATATATATATATATATATATAACGTGGTTCAGACACTTTATATATATATATATATATATATATATATATATATATATATATATATATATATATATATATATATAAAGTAAACTAAGATATATAGTAATAAAATGTCGTAAGCCAAATGATAAATCAACCATTGAAATGGAGATGGGAAGGAAAGAAAGTTAGGAAGAATTAGCTTGTGTAAATATCGTGATTGGAGGTAAACGCCACCATTTCATAGTTTACCCAAAGGTTCTATCTGAAAGAATAAAAATAACAACATTTCCAATCAAGTATTAAAGCATAGGCACGGTGACGGTACGTGATTAAAAAAATCTCTGCGTTTTTATTAAAATTATAACGTCAGAATTTAGTGTTTAAAACGTCAGAATTCATTGTGTATAATGTCAAAATGTAGTGTGTAACGTAAGTTATAATTTTTTTTCATATCCAGAATTTGGTGCTTTTTCTATCTTGCTTGAGTCGTGGGGGAGGGTGCGTGGCAGTGGGGTATTTTTTTCTATAGTTTGTGAACATATCTCAGACATAAATTGTATTGCATTAAGATTCTTTCTCCTGTTAAACAAATTTTCATTTGACACCATAAATAAAGATGAACTGAATTTAATTTGATGGAATCGGCACAGCGTTGGCATCATGTATTCAACATGATAGTAGCCAATTAAATGTAAATGTTGCCTTCAGTTTACGCGTGATGGTCATTACATTTTGTTTCAAAACATGATCTATAAGAGGTCAAAACACATTGTTTTAAACTGCATAGTCATTCTTAAATACCATAGATCGCTAAAACTAAAAACTAGGGATTTGCCAAATGTCATCTTTTTCCCGGACATGTTCTCCTTTTTGGTTCTTAAATCTCTATACATATACTGATACAGCGAACCCATTCTCCGGAGTGTCCTCTTCTTTCAAAGTTCAAATATGGCAACCCTAAAACACTGTTGATTACTCGAGGATGTCACGAGCACGAGTATAGTCACATATAGTCACGAGTCACAACTGTGTAAGAGTAATGAGAGCGTGATTGTGGCGCATATATATTTCGCTTATATATATATATATATATATATATATATATATATATATATATATATATATATATATATATATATATATATATATATATATATATATATATATATATATATATATATATATATATATATATATATATATGTGAGTGTGTATTAATAATACACAATTCAAAACTAGTTTTTAACTATTCTACGCAAGTTAAACTCTAGTCTTGATCGAAGGCAATAACAGATAAGATGCAAACTAAGCAAACCGTAAAGACAAAACAAAGCGATGAACTTTGCACAAAGTATACGCTGATATTTTTGGAAAATGGAAGAATTGTTTGAAATTTGTACACGTTAATTCTTTTTGGGGTGGATGGGTTGGGTTGTGGGTTTCAATCCTGATGACAAAATGTAGTTAAGCTGGCACTGTCCTACAACGGCCGAACAAGAGCATAATATATTTTTTGATATAAAATGATGTAACCGAAGATTAGATTCCGGTTAATTCATTATTTTTTGTTATAAAAAACAAATATAGTAACGGATGTATTTATGAGAAAGTGAATGAATAATGAACTAAATAAAATTATTATTGACTTGAAAAATATGGACTCTAATTAGATAAAAATTTTACCTTGAATTACTGATATTTCTGTGTTTCTTAATGATATTAATATTGTTGTTATTTTTACGGTAACAATCAATAACTATACGAGCTTTACTTTGAAAAAAAATAATTCGGAGAGTATTTTAGTATGTTGCCTTGAAGTTGTACAAAAGGCAAGAGTTCAGGAGCATCGAATAGGTGTTTGCTAGCCATTCAAATTTAAATGACTTGGTTGATAGTTCATTTCATTGCTAAATTAAAATTTACCAAGCCATAATACCTAGTATGCCTTAAATGCTCACCATTCAGACCACAAATAGCAATTTATACTAAACAAATTACAAAGCTTCATGATAAATGTTTTTCGCTTAATCGAAAACTTTTCCTGCACTCGGATGATTTCCAAATGATGAATATCCATATCTATTAAGTTATCTTCTGAAAACGTCTATAAAAAAAGAGAACATTTTAAACGAATACAAATGTGTCAGCTGTTTAATGGTGCTTTACTTTGTGTCTGTATTGTATACGCATCCTGCTAACTCTTGCTATGGACTCCTGGTTCTATTATTTTTACTAAAATGCGAGATTGCTTTTACAACGACGTTGCGCACAGATGATTTTATTTTTTCCATATGTGAATTTTTCATACATATATTAGCACGAGCATCCACTTCATTTACTGAGTTTAGAAAAACTTCACTTTAAACATTACTTCAGTGTATATGAAACAAAAATTGGCAAAGCCACCAAATTTAAAATTTCTTTAATGATGCATCAGACCTTGCAGAAATGTATTCGCCGGGTTTCATTCAAACCCTTCTTCAAAATATGTAGCAAATCAGAGTCGTATATCAACATTGAACAATCCCACTTATTTATTATGCTTCTTATAGTTTAATATATGCTCTCTCCTCTCTTTCAGATAATTTTTATCTCATTCTTTTCAATATTTCTCATTGTTTTCAATCTTATTGAAATAAATGTCCAAAAGCATGGTGTTCAAAAGAAAAAGCATTTTTTAAAACTATCACCTACGTAAATGGAGAGGATATAACAAAAACCCATATTATTTCGTAATATACTCGTAATCATCCTATCACGCTTGTACTTGAGTAACCGTATTTGCACTGTCAAGCATTAACCATTTATCATCGAGGGCTTAAATAGCCACTGTTTCCATTTAGATGTTATACAACCGATTGATGAAATAAACAAAGCCACTGTTTCCATTTAGGTGTTATACAACCCATTGATGAAATGAACAAAGCCACTGTTTCCATTTAGGTGTAGTACAAGCCATTGATGAAATGAACAAAGCCAATGTTTCCATTCAGGTGTTATACGAACCATAATGACATGATCAAAGCAACTGATTTTATCCAGATTTTTTTTACAACCATGATGACACCAGCAAAGCCTGTGTTTCAATTCAAGTGGTATACAATCCATGATGAAATGTCCACAACTCACTGTTTAAATTCAGGTGTTATACAATCTATGATGAAATGACCACAAGTCACTGTTTCCATTCAGGTGTTGTACAATCCAAATTGAAATGACCACAACTCACTGTTTCCATTCAGGTGTTATACAATCCATGATGGAATGACAACAAGTCACTGTTTCCATTCAGGTGTTGTACAATCCATAATGAAATCAACCGCACAAAAAACCCTCACTGTTTCCATTCAGGTGTTATACAATCCATGATGAAATGACCACAACTCACTGTTTCCATTCAGGTGTTGTACAATCCATGATGAAATCAACCACACAAAAAAAATCACTTTTTCCATTCAGGTGTTGTACAATCCATGATGAAATGACCACAAGTCACTGTTTCCATTCAGGGGTTGTACAATCCATGATGAAATGACCACAACTCACTGTTTTCATTCAGGTGTTATAGAATCCATGATGAAATGACAACAAGTCACTGTTTCCATTCAGGTGTTCTATAATCCATGATGAAATGACCACAACTCACTGTTTCCATTCAGGTGTATGATAAAATATGTAAGGCCAGTGTTTTCTTTCAGTTGTTTTACAATTCATGATGAAATGACCAAAAGTCACTGTTTCCGTTCAGGTGTTTTACAACCCATGAAAAAAAAAATGAAATGCCAGTGGTTTCATTTAAGTGTTTTACAAACCCATGATAAAATATGCAATGCCATCGTTTTCATTGAGTGTTTTACAATCATTGATGAACTGATCAAAAGTCGCTATTTCCATTTAGGTGTTTTACAACCCATGATAAAATATGCAAGGACAGTGTTTTCATTCAGGAGTTTTACAATCCTTGACAATAAGAACAAGAACTGCTTTCAATTTGCAAATCTATCATTCTTGGCTTTCATCGTATTAGAGTAAAATTTGTCCATTAGGAACTTGGATAGCTCTGACACAGGAATCAACAATGCATTTGTTTTCCAGACTGATTTTTTAAAAAATTTTCACGCTTACCAAACATCTCTCTTTTCATACATTATTGTTTTTCTGATGACATTTAAAAAAAATACTTAGATAGTTCTACACTTGTTATTTTCCTAGGATTTTTTATGTTGTCCATCAATTCAAATTAAAGAAATACTTCTCAAACTTATCTTTAACGTTTTTATCTTTTTGACCGCTCCGGTGGCCTAGTGGTTAGAGCGTCCGCCTCAAATGCGGGAGGTCGTGGGTTCGATCCCCGGTCGAGTCATACCAAAGACTTACAAAAATGGTACTAACAGCTGCCTCGCATGGCGATCAGCATTAAGAGGTTAGTGTTAGGACTGGTCGGCCTGGTGTCAGGATAATGTCACTGGGTGGGACATCATGTTACATGTCTGCGGCATGATGCCCCAGCGCTAGACATCACTATAAACTGCCACACTGCAGACATCGTAGTGATATGACTGAAAATTGTTAAAGCTACGTTAAAAATCATAATCACATCACATCTTTTCAAACTTGCATTTTTCTAGCTGTAGAATATAAATCATTTTGTTATTTGTTTATATAAGGAAAGCAATTATTCTAATTTGTTCAACTGTAAATTAAATTACGTTTATAACTAAGCTTTTGAAATCGAATTATGTATTTACTTTTGTTTTCCAGTATTCGTAATAGTTTTAATAACATTAGTTAACATTAGTTCTTTGCTACGTACAAGCTTTTCATGTCCTAACGGATAGCCACGCAAGTGAGTTGATACTTCGAAATTAACCTCTATAATGTCTCCATTTTAATTGCCTTTTTGGAACTCGCTTGTTTTCCAAATCAACATTTTCAGTAACCGGCATTTTTATGATTATTAATATTAATATTAATATTAGTAGTAGTAGTAGTAGTAGTAGTAGTAGTAGTAGTAGTAGTAGTAGTAGAAATTAGTAGTCGTAGCAATCATTACCATCATTGATATCTTCATAATTACTTATTTATATATTATTCTTTTTACAGTTCAAATCATTAAATATATAAATTCCTTAAGTTGAACATAGTTCTATAGTTTTAAAATTTACAAAAATTGAATTAATTTAAACCTATTTTGTCTTAATTACTTAAAAATAAAATTTTGAGATGTTTGTATCAACTGACATTCCAAAGTACAGTTATACTCATCCTCAAGTGTAATGTATATGAAACAATGTCTTTCTTTAGTGGGCTTCTTAAAGCTACGTTAACAATTACTCCCCCACCCCAACCCAACAAATACAAAACTTACAGCTAAAAAGTGAAATTTTATCTCTTTTAAATAGCATTTTTGTATTTGTACTAGGAATTTAATGAACAAGCTACTTTTAATGAATCCATGTCGTTATTTTCAGGTGTTATCTAAGACCGTTGACTACAATACCTTTGCAATAATCCCGACGCAAAATATATTTAAAATTTACCCGCCACCATGACAGCATCATCGAAAAAGGCCAGTCAGAAAGACCAAACCTTGACTCGGCTTGTCATAACTGTATCTCAAGTTTTCATTATGCATTGCGTTCTGTTTTTCTGATACAATTATTTCACTGTGTTTGTATGGATACACGACATATCATCTTTATCTAATACAATTATTTCACCGTGTTTGTATGGATACACGACATATCATCTTTTTCTAATACAATTATTTCACTGTGTTTGTATGGATACACGACATATCTTTTTCTAATACAATTATTTCACTGTGTTTGTATGGATACACGACATATCATCTTCTTTAATATACTTCGTTTCGTTCACTGCAAAATGAGAATTGTTATGTTCGAACAAACCGCTAATGTGGCTTAAGTGGTTAATGCATCTGCCTCTTGTGTGGGAGATCGTGGGTTCATTTCCTGGCAGAGTCATTTAAAAAACTTATAAAAATGCTACTAAACGCTGCCTCCCTAGGAATTAGAATTTAGAAAATAGTGTTAGGGGATCGGCCTGGTGACTGTGGGACATAATGCTACATGTCTGCGGCATGATCCACAGTGCTAGACATGACTACAGACTGCTTCACTGCAGACATCGAAGAGATATGACTGAAACATTGGTAAAGCTACGTTAGCAATCCACCACCTTACCCTCTCTCTCTCTCTCTCTCTCTCTCTCTCTCTCTCTCTCTCTCTCTCTCTCTCTCTCTCTCTCTCTCTCTCTCTCTCTCTCTCTCTCTTCAGCGAGACGACCAAAACTAGGTCAGTAAATACTAAGATTCTTGAGTACTATAGTCAAACAACGTTGAAAGGTGGTGTTTTGATGTTTATGATTTTTAACATAGCTTTAACAATTTTTCAATCATATCGCTCCGATGTCTGCAGTGTGGCAGTTTATAGTGATTTCTAGCACTGTGGCATCATGCCCCGAGACATGTAGCATGATGTCCCACCCAGTCACATTATCCTGCCGACCAGTCCTAACACTAACCTCTTAATGCTGAGCGTCAAGCGAGGCAGCTGTTAGTACCATTTTTGTAAGTCTTTGGTATGACTCAACCGGGGACCGAACCCACGACCTCCCGCATTTGAGGCGGACGCTCTAACCACTAGGCCATCGGAGCGGTTCAAAGCGAATCCTCGTTCAATGCCTTTTACTTACATAATCGATTTTTTTTGTACCCCAATCATGCACCCTAAAATGTGTTGTTGGATGCATTCCCATACCCATATAAATTACTATAACGGATTTGTCAATGAAAAATAATGAACACACAAAAATCTTTGAATTCATAAATCTTTTCACATGAATGTGTAATAGAATGATGGCAAAAGCAACATACCTTCTAATTATAACTAAGCTTTTATTTTGTAAACATTTAGATCTTTCTAAAATGAAACTTTTTAGAGCTTTCCAGAATGAATCTTTTTAGAGCTTTCCAGAATGAAACTTTTTAGATCTTTCTAGAATGAAACATTTTAGAGCTTTCTAGAATGCAACTTTTTAGAGCTTTCTAGAATGCAACTTTTTATAGCTTTCCAGGATGAAACCTTTTAGAGCATTCCAGAATATAACTTTTTAGAGCGTTCAAGAATGAAACATTTTAGAGCTTTCTAGAATGAATCTTTTTAGAGCCTCCAGAATGAAACTTACTATTTGGTAGCAGTAGTTCTTTTTAGAAAGTGTATTCAGAAGTTTAATTATTAGGATTTGTATTAAAAAAATTCTAGGATTATTTGGGATTTAATTTGCAATACAGTAAGTCAAGCTGTTACCTTATTACTTTGTGTTTAATGGAAATAAACTGTTTATTTAATTTTGCAAAACATGTTGGTTTTTGTCTTTTTCTATTACTTTGTCTAAGACCATCAATTTGTGATTTTCGATGTGATGTGAGTATTCGATGTGATATGAGATAAATGATAATGATGCTTTTTCATTACAACTATCAATTAATCTGGTCGCCAGAAGAGGCTAGAGAACAAAATGTAGTAATCGTTTCGATTTTAACGATAAACGAGTGAGGGTCAAGTTCGTCTCATGGGCAGTATTAATAACTCCAGTGAAAAGTAAACTGTTAGTAACAAAATAATACGACTTCTTTATTACAATGCCATTGCAAAACAGACGACGACTCCAACAACTCCAACAATGACAACATGCATGTTTGTTTAATATTGACTCGCTAAATTACAGTCATTTGTGATTATAAATATACTACAGTAAATTTCCTTGTCTTATTATTATTACTATTATTATTATTATTATTATTATTATTATTATTAGTAGTAGTAGTAGTAGTAGTAGTAGTAGTAGTAGTAGTAGTAGTAGTAGTAGTAGTAGTAATAGTAGTAGTAGTAGTAGTAGTAGTAGTAGTAGTAGTAGTGGTAGTAGTAGTAGTATTAGTAGTATTGGTGTTGTTTATGTTAGTTCTACTTCTGTTGCTGTTCTATTGTTGCTAGTATTTTCTTATTTTTAGTATTTAGGCCCAACTACATAATATTGTATGTTGTATACTAAAACTTTAAACTACATTGAAATCTTTCAAAACAAATTTCAAAAATCTTTCGGATTTTGTTCCTACATTGATATCCATGTACAATCTCAAATTTGACAACATGTAAATATATCTAATATTTCAGAAACATTGTATTCTCATGCAATCACATGTTCCCGTGGCCTAAGTTGTTAGCGAGTCCGCCTCGGACGCGGTAGGTAGCGAGTTTGAATCTTGGCCGAGTCACACCAAAGTCTTTTAAAAAATGTTACTAACAGCTCAGCATTAAGAGTTTACTGTTAGGACTTGTCGGCCTGGTGTCAGGATAATGTGACTGGGTGGGATATTATGCTACTTGTCTCGGGGCATGATGCCCCAGTACTAGACGCACAATACTCTAAAGTGCCACAGAATTCGTCGCGATATGACTAAGACTGTTAAATCTACGTTAAAAATCTTAAAAACATAAACATCTTACACAATTTGAATAAACATATTCTGGTTTTTGGGGTTACATTGACAACTGGTCATTATGGATAACGAAAGGGAAAACTTCAGTCACCAGTTTCCCAATAGAAGATTCCATATACTGGCTTTAGATATGATATAAATTGGAATGATAAGTGTATGTGGAACGAAAACTCTTTAAACAAGCTTCGTGGAGTCAAAAATCCATCTTTAGAGAATGCCGTCCCTTATATTGGAATAAAACACAAAGGTGAAATTGCGTAATGGACACGCATACCTGATTCATGCTTGACTACTGAAAGGTGAACCACGAGCTAAATACCCACTGCCAAAGGAATATTCTTACCGAGTATGCTAACCGCGGCCATGGTGTGTGCGTGTGTGTGTGTGTGTGTGTGTGTGTGTGTGTGTGTGTGTGTGTGTGTGTGTGTGATATGTAGTTTTAACGGAGCTTTAACAATTTTCAGTCATATCGCTACAATGTCTGCAGTCTAACAGTTTTATAATGACGTCTAGCACTGGGGCATCATAGCGCAGACATACAGTATCATGTCCCACATTATCCTGACATCAAACCGACCAATTCAAACACTAACCTCTTAATGCAGAGCTCCCATTGGACAGCTGTTTGTACCATTTTTTTATTAAAAAATCTAAGTCATTGGTATGACTCAGTCGGGATTCGAACTGGAGACCTCCCGCACCCGAGGTGGACGTTCTAACAACCACTATTCCACTGGAGTGATCCTTGTTTTTTCAAACTCAACTAAGAAACTTTGTAACGATGTATTACAAGAAAAAAAATCTTGGACATTTTGAGAGAACAGTGTTCATTTAACAAA